CGTTCGAATTTAAAATCTTCACATGCATGCTAAGAAAAATGGAGCCAAGTTCTCCAACTACTCTTTTTATTTATTTATTTATTTATTTATTCCTTTTACAAACCGTTCAAATTTAAAATTTTCAAAAGCATGCTAAGAAAAATGGAGCTAAGTTCTCTACCAACTCTCTTAGACACATAAAAATCTAATGAAAATGGGGAAGACTAACAAAAATACTCCACCAAAAAAGCCAAGTATCTCCATCACCATGTCCACACATAAGAATGTGAATTTGGTTCAGCCCATGTCAGATCTTGCGAGTTTCTGTCAAAATTCATGTTGGATCGGGCCGACCCACTAGCCAAAAAATTTGGCCCAAGCCCAGGGGGTATTCGGGTCTTGGGCGAGCCTGGGGCCTAGGCTCGGGCATGGGCTAGTCTTGGGCAGGTCTAAACATTTTTTTTTTCTATTAAAATTTTATTATTTTCCACTAAAAAGAAACTAGGCCTTGGGCGAGCCGATAGGTCGGGCCAGACTTCAAAATGATGGCCCAGGCCTAGGCCTAGAGTCTCGGGTTGGATTCGGAGCTGGGCCCAAGCAGGCCTAAACGAGTTGGGCCCACCTCGGGCCACAGACCATTTTTACACTCCTATCCACACAAGTGGAAAAGGTCCATAATTGTAACCTTGGAGTATTTGAAGGCAAAACTGTCCTTTTCTACTTATTCTATATTTTTCTACATTATTATTATTATTATTATTACTATTATTATTATTATTTGTCTCTACTGTATTTTCGAAACTCACCACCCCTAACCCATTTCCGAGTAGGTTTAGAAAACATAGCGCAAAATAAAAATATTGTGAAAAAATATAACATAAATTGAAAATAGAATAAACTTACAATTTTTTTCTCAAAAATATCTGATGTGATAGTCACTTGACAATTTTTGCAGAGTAATTTTCCATAAGTGAAAGGGCCTCTCAAAATGATTCACGACTAAAATTACAAATCTTATACATACTTTTTAATTGGTGTATAATGTAATGCCCCCAAAATAGTTACCATAATTCATTTATAAATGACTAATACTAGATGACATAAACAAAATAATAGACTTTCATTAATCATAGTTAATTTACAAAAGTGACACATGCGATATACATTCATAAGTTCTACCCTGAATCTATAGCATGTGATACCAACTTAATGATCAACAAAATAAATGCCCTATAGACTTACATCTTTCCAAAACTATGTTTGGTTACAACAAAAGAGAGAGTCTTAAGTTCCATACATATAAAGCCCTAGGCTTGTACAAATATTAGATACAAAGCAACAAAACAAAGCCTTCAACTCCCAGGTCCTCCCAAGCTAAGTCCTTGAAAGGAGGATGTCACCAGCACCTAAAAATGGTTTTCCAAATAAGGTGAGCCAAAGCCTAGTAGAAGCAATCTAATCACAATATATGAATATTAACAAAGATATAACTATGATGTACATGTTCAATGCCCAAATGACAAACCTTTTATAACTTTTTCCAAACCATGTTATGTCAAACTTACATCTCAATCCATTAGTTACACCCACTTCATTTAGTCAACCAAACAGAGGATACAACCCATCGACTTCTAACCAATATAATTATCATACAGAATACATTGACTTGCCCTTTTATGAAAATTTCATCCGCAGGAATCGGCACCATGTATACGCGCGATTTTCGGGACTTTCATCCTGGACACACAGGCCAACATAGTTTAATGAAGTCCATCCCCTTTCTTCTCCCAAGCATGGAGTACATCTCCTTTCTCTTCCCAAATTGTGACATTTTGTTCCCAGATCCGCTCACGGGGGGAAACCGCCGCTCGAGCGTAGAATTTATGTTCTCAGTATTTTATTTTGTTGCAGGCGTGTCCGTTCGAGTGTGGGAAGTCCCACTCGAGCGTGAAATGCTAGCCCTCAGTAATTCCGCTATAGCACTGTAAAACCTCTGAGACTCCTATTTCTCCGCTCAAGTGGGGAAGTCGTCGCTCGAGCGGGCCCTTTTGATCGTGTCTGGACACTTGAGCATGGGAAGTCACGCTCGAGCGGGGAACATGATGACAGCTTTTTAAACACAGCAACTTTAGATCATTTTCACACCCTTCTTTTTCTATTCTTGATTTCCTCTCCCCCTCCCCCTCCTCTATTGGAAACCCTAGATCTCCATCTCCAAATAGCTCTCATACCATTGAAATCCACCCAAATTTGTTGGTTGGGGACGAAGAACACTTGAAGGATAGCATTATCTTCCGATTGGATTAGGGATTTGCAATAGATTCGTGAAGGAGTTTGAATTTAGGGCTTGATAGTTGAGGTAAGGATATTTTTATTCTTGTATCTCTTCTTTCTTGAAGAAATTTCATGGTATTATGTGTGATTCGAAATCTAATTGAAGTTTTGTTGAATGAAACCCACTTTCCATGTAATTACCCTTTTACTCAACATTTTGGTTGAAATTCCTAAATTTCCCTCTTTAATATAAGTAAATATGTGGTTAAAGAACTAGACTTGTGACTAAGGGAAGAAACCCCTAAAATCTAGAGAAACCCTATGTTCCCAATTGGTTAGAAAATTGCCTAGCTAGTGAAATACCCAATTAATTCATGACCTGGGTGGGGAGACAACATGTGGGCATTGGTGTAATTAAAGAGATGAATGTGATGTTATATGTGATGATGATACATGATGTTGATTGTGGAATTGAAATGTGTTTTAATTATTGAGTATGCATGAGTCTATGTGTGAGTTGGTAATGTGTGAAGGTGGTGTTGTGTTGTACCCGCGCGGGGAGTTTTAAAAGGTGCCCAATTGCCCTGTCTAGGCTTATCGTTGGACGAATGTGGGAATAACATTTTTGGGTATCTACACAGTCCCGCCGTATAGTAGCCGACGAAAGTGGAAAAATGGATGATTTTCTTGGGTGCCCACTCCCCGCCGTATAGTAGCCGGCGAATGTGGGGGTTGTTTTTAAAAAGGAATGATTGTTCTCAATTGGGTTCATGTGATGGAATGCATGTGAATTGATTTCTTAGTTATGAATGTTTCCTTATTTAACTAGATGTCATTATTTAAATTTATCTGAATTGGATTATAAAGGTTCTTATGAGATATGGACTAAATATATATGCTTAATTGCTAAGCACCTTTGTTTGTGTTGTTACATCACATGGATGCCACACTTTTGTTCAAGGAATTAGATACCTGGATAAATGTATTCTTACTGGGCATATAGCTCAACCCTAACTTATTTTTCAGGAATTGAGGAAGGTCAGCCTCGATAAAGAACCAGTTCAAATGCTAGCTCTAGCTTCCTTTGGGGAGTTCATTGAAGTCAAGAGTATCTAGTTGTCTGTGTGTATTTTTGGGGATTTTGTAATGGAACTTTTGTATGTAATTTTGTAAAAATGTACGCCTAAGGGCTCATGTTTTGTTAGGTCATCTAGATTATTGAACTAGGACAGGACCACGAACGTTGTGGAAATGTAATATTTGAATTGTAATCACTCAAGTCCCAGTTCAATGGGCAAGATGACCCATTTTGGAGTTTCATGATTATGTTACCAATGTGAACAACAGGGTTAATTTACAGGGCGTTACAAGTTGGTATCAAAGCCATAAGTTAGAATACTTTGGGCTCGTGGGAAATGACGTTAGTCACAATAGGGTCCGTAAATTATATGAATCAACCCAATGTATTATGTGTTTTTATGTGATTGTATGGACATGGGGTTAGAATCCTAGGATGTGGCTTTACCCGTTGCATTCCTTGAAATCCTCTTGGAAAGACACTTGATCACTGTTCTTTCCACTTGGAGGTCCTTGATTGCCATGGAATTAGCTAACATCTAGGGAGGATAACTGAAGTGTGTTTTATGTGCATGTTGAGTATTTATTTGATTATGATGCATTCTGAAGGAGTGAGTAAGGGGCACATAGGTGCTGAAAATTGTTATTAAATTTACTCATTGTTCTTATTTCTTATAGATGTCTGGGCACGCTAGAGCACGGGGTAGGCCCCAACGGGGTGGCCGAAACATCCCAGCTCAACCTGAGATTCCTCCGCAAGAGGAAGGAGTGGGCCAAAACAATGTACCTGCTCCACCAGCCCAAGGAGCTATGGGGGTATTAGCTAGGGAGATAACAGGGGCTTTGCGGGAGTCCATGGAAATGTTGAGAGCCGAGCAAGTGGCTAGAACCATTGAGGGGGAAACGAGAGCTTCCTTCTTAAAGAAGGAGTTCTTTCGTTCCAATCCTGCTGAGTATAATGGCGAGCCTGACCCGATGAAGGCCGATGAGTGGTTGGGGCAGATAATTAAGTCCTTTGAGATCTTAGACATTAGGGAGAATAAGTTGCGAGTGGCATTAGCGGCTTATCAACTGAAGAGGGAAGCCGGGCAATGGTGGAAGTCCGTTAAACATAGGGTTGATCATACTTGGGAAGCATTTTTGCAAGCTTGTCAAGACAAATTCCTTCCTCCCACGGCTAGAGAACGTTTGAGGAAACAGTTTGAGCAACTATTACAGTTAGATACACTGATGGCGGAGTATGAAGCGAAATTCACAAGCCTATCTCGTTTTGCACCTGAATTGGTAGCTACGAAAGAAAAGAAGTGTCTTGAATTTGAGAAAAGACTGAGACCAAAGATCTTGATGAAGGTGGTTGGTAACATGATTCGTGACTATGACCGTTTAGTCGAAGCTGCAGCTCATGTAGAATCACAGTAGAGGCGGAAAAGGCAAGACAAAGATCAAAGAGAACGGGGCAGTCTGACACTAGAAGTGACACTGGTTCTTCCAAGAGGTCTAGAGGTTCGTCATCGTCTTGGCAATCGCCCCCGCAACAAATTAAGTCCTCATATGTGTCGGGTGGGAGTTCGGGAAACATGCCCCGAGTTACCAGTGCATGTTATAGGTGTGGCTAAATAGGTCACAAGGCTGCTGAGTGTGGGCAGATGGGAGGGGCACGGTCTCAGCCGATGCGTTCACAGGGTCAACCTCAACGTAGGAACCAACAACAATCTTGTTATCATTGTGGTAAACCTAGACATTTGAAGAAGTTCTGTCCACAGAAAGCGGGAGTTTTGGAGATGACAGGGTCTAGGCAGTCAGGGGGCCCACAGATGAGTCAGGGATAGAGACAATCATATCAGTCGGCTCAATCAGGACAAGCATCCAGGATAGTTCAGGGAGCCTCATCTGCTCAGTCTGCACAACAAACTTATGTTCAAAATGGTGATGTAGGGGAGCAGATATCGCAGGGAAGGGTGTATGCAGTTACTGCTTCTGAGCAAGCTACGGGGTCATTAGTTGTACGAGGTACATTTCTCATCTTCAATACATGGGCTAAGGTGTTAATAGATACTGGGGCTTCGCATTCTTTTATTACCAAGTCATTTGCATCATTGTTGGGATTAGAGAATAGACAACAACAGGCCCCACTCACAGTAGAATCACCAGTAAGGGGAAAGGTCAATCTGACCCGAGAATGTCAGGGGTGTGTAATTGAGGTAGCAGGTCGACAACCCCCTTTTAACTTCGTAATGTTGGAAATGGCAGGTTTTGATGTGATTCTCGGGATGGATTGGTTGTTCGTGTACCGGGCGATAATAGATTGTTACCGGGGGAGGGTCACAGTGTGTACTGTAAGTGGTGATCGTTTTACGTTATTAAGGGATAAGTATGATAGATTCTTACCCTCGTCATACTATCCTTATGGCCGAGATCAAATTAATTTTCTTTTAGCAAGCCTTTGGGAAGATGGAAATGATGTAGTCTGGAATGAATTCCCAAAAATAGTGTGTGAATATCCCTATGTCTTTCCTGAAGATCTCATAGAGTTACCGCCTCATAGGGAGGTAGAGATCACCATAGACTTGCTTCCGGGCACGACACCTATCTCACTGCCACTATATAGGTTTGCTCCAGCTGAATTAATGGTTCTGAAAGAACAGTTGCAGAAGTTACTTAATAAGGGCTTTATACGCCCCAGCACGTCGCCTTGGGGAGCCTCAGCTTCGCAAAGAAGAAGGATGGGTCCTTAAGATTGTGCATAGATTACTGGAAATTGAACCAAGCTACGATTAAGAATAAATACCCCTTAACAAGAATAGATGACCTTTTTGACCAACTTAAGGGCTCTCATTGTTTCTCCAAAATAGATTTGAGATTGGTTTACCACCAAATTCTAGTTAGTGAAGAGGACATTCCCAAAACTGCCTTTCGTACCCGATATGGTCATTACGAGTTCTTGGTTATGCTTTTTGGGCTGACCAACGCCCCAGCTACATTCATGGACCTAATGAACCGAATCTTTAGAGAATTCCTTGATACATTTGTAGTGGTCTTTGTAGATGATATTGTTATCTACTCACCCTAAGAAGAAGAGCATGAAGGGCACCTTCGTATAATTTTGCAGCTTCTTAGGGAGCACCGACTTTATGCTAAGTATGAAATATGTGAATTTTGGCTTACGAAAGTAAGGTTCTTGGGTCACGTAGTTTCAGGGGATGGAGTTATGGTGGATTCCTCAAAAATAGAAGTTGTGTTAAATTGGGAGCAGCCTAAGAATGTCTCCAAAATTCGAAGCTTTTTGGGTTTGGCCAGTTACTATCGCCATTTTGTGAAGAACTTCTTTTCTTTAGCATCACCGTTGACCAGGTTAACCCAAAAGGGAGTAAAGTTTGTTTGGAGCGAAGCATGTGAAAACCCTTTCCAAGAGCTGAAGATTAGATTAACCACCGCACCCATCCTTATCATTCCAGAACGAGGATTAGGTTATACAGTGTATTGCGATGCCTCTAGGGAGGGATTAGGATGCGTTTTAATGCAACAAGGAAAGGCGGTGGCATATGGCTCGCACCAACTGAAGACTCATGAAGGAAACTACCCTACTCACGATTTAGAGCTCGTCGCCGTTGTTTTCGCCTTGAAGTTGTGGAGACTACCTTTACGGTGAGAAATTTGAAGTCTTTTCTGACCACAAAAGCTTCAAATACCTATTTTCCCAAAAGGACTTAAACCTACGGCAGCGAGGGTGGATGGAGTTCCTAGAGGACTATAATTTTGAGATACACTACCATCCTGGTAAGGCCAATGTGGTAGCGGATGCTTTGAGTAGAAAATTGATGAGTATGATAGCCAACTTGGCAATGAACGAATGGAAGATGTTAGGAGATGTCAATGAGTATTCTCTGCAACTCAGTGAATCTTCGGAGTAAGCAACCCTCTTTGCCACCATCGCACAACCGACCCTTGTTGCAAGAGTAATGGAAGCTCAACTGGGTGATCCAGAAGTAGGAACCATTAAAGAGAGAATCCAACTCGGAAAGGAAGCGAAGGGCCTAAATGTTCACGCAGACTCTAGTGTTCGTTACCTTGATCGATTGTTCGTGCCTAAATCCATGAGAAATGAAGTCTCGAAAGACTTTCATCATTCTCGTCTCGCTATGCACCCGGGGGGCACAAAAATGTATCATGATCTAAGCCATCAATTCTGGTGGAGGGGCATGAAGAAAGACGTAGCCTCCTTTGTATCTAAGTGTTTGACATGTCAACAAGTCAAGGCAGAACACCAAAGATTGGCTGGACTATTACAACCCCTTCCAGTTGCTGAATGGAAGTGAGAATACGTCAACATGGATTTTGTTTCTGGTCTCCCTAGGACTCAGAGGAGTAACGATGCAGTATGGATGATTGTTGACAGACTTACTAAGTCAGCTCATTTCCTCGCCATGAGTATGGGGGATTCCGTAGAATTCTTAGTTGAACTTTATGTTCGCGATATTGTCCGTCTCCACGGTATACTAGTCAGCATAGTATCTGATAGAGACCCTCGTTGTATAGCTAGGCTGTGGCAGAGTCTTCAAAGTGCCTTGGGAACTCAACTGAACTTTAGTACTGCATATCACCCCCAAATTGACGGACAATCCGAGCGTGTTATTCAAATTTTAGAAGACATGTTGTGAGCTTGCGCATTAGATTTTAAAGGGTCATGGGAGAAGCATTTACCTCTGGTTGAATTTGCATATAACAACAGCTTTCAAGCAAGTATTAGAATGGCACCCTTCGAAGCATTGTACGGGCGTCCATGTAGATCACCGGTATGTTGGACTGAAGTGGGAGATTCACCTTTGTTAGGCCCAGATTTAGTCCGTGAAACCATTGAGAAAATAGCCTTTATTCGTAGAAGGTTAGCCACCGCACAAAGTGGACAGAGGAGTTATGCCAACAGGAGAAGGCGACCCTTATTCTTAGAGGTAGGTGACCATGTGTTTCTGAAATTTTTCCCTAAGAAGGGCTTGATGAGGTTTGGCCGGAGTGGAAAATTAGCACCAAGGTTTATTGGCCCCTTTGATGTCATTGAATGAGTTGGAGAAGTGGCATATCGTCTTGCATTACCTCCTCAGCTCTCAGGAGTCCATAATGTATTCCATGTGTCTATGCTCCGTAAGTATGAACCTGACCCCTCTCATGTGTTAGATTGGGCAGAAATTGAAGTAAACGAGGATGTATCATATGAGGAGAAGCCAATTCAAATTCTTGATACACGGCAACAAGTGTTGAGAGGTAAGACGATTATGCTAGTTAAAGTGTTGTGGTATCATCATGGTGTGCAGGAAGCAACATGGGAGCGAGAAGCCGAAGTCCGCGAGAAATACCCTAAACTATTCTCAAATCCATAATGTATTAAATTTTTTACGTTTCTTAAGTAACTAGTGGGGTTAATCTTGAGCCGCAAACTCTTAATGCTCTTTTATTTTGATTTTGATTTTAAAAGTAGTATTATGTTTAAATGGGATGTTTAAATTGAATGTTGTGGTGTATGTTTGACTCTGACTTGTGGTTGTATTCAGAGTAAGCAAATTCTTGTGGTTATATCCCTACTATTAACTATGTGTCCAAGTAGAAATGTATATAGATATGTACATGTATATTGAGTATTGGTGAGATGCATAAAGATTGATGAATGGTGCAATAAAAATAATAGAAAACTAGAACATGTGTGTGTTTATACCTGCGTTGTTGATGTTGTCATTAGTTATAGCAGGTAGGAGGAAGAAGACAATTTCAAGGGCGAAATTCCTTAAGGGGAAGAGATTGTGACATTTTGTTCCCAGATCTGCTCAAGCGGGGAAACCGCGGCTCGAGTGTAGAATTGATGTTCTCAGTATTTTGTTTTGTTGCAGGCGTGTCCGTTCGAGTGTGGGAAGTCCCGCTCGAGCGTGAAATGCTAGCCCTCAGTAATTCCACTGTAGCACTGTAAAACCTCTGAGACTCCTCTTTCTCCGCTCGAGCGGGGGAGTCATCGCTCGAGCGGGCCCTTTTGATCGTGTCTGGACGCTCGAGCGTGGGAAGTCACGCTCGAGTGGGGAACGCGATGATAGCTTTTTAAACGCAGCAACTTTAGATCATTTTCACACCCTTCTTTTTCTATTCTTGATTTCCTCTCCCCCCTCTATTGGAAACCCTAGATCTCCATCTCCAAATAGCTCCCATACCATTGAAATCTACCCAAATTTGTTGGTTGGGGATGAAGAACACTTGAAGGATAGCATTATCTTCCGATTGGATTGGGGATTTGCAATAGATTCGTGAAGGAGTTCGAATTTGGGGCTTGATAGTTGAGGTAGGGATATTTTTATTCTTGTATCTCTTCTTTCTTGAAGAAATTTCATGGTATTATGTGTGATTGGAAACCTAATTGAAGTTTTGTTGAATGAAAACCACTTTCCATGTAATTACCCTTTTACTCAACATTTTGGTTGAAATTCCTAAATTTCTCTCTTTACAAAGAAGTGCCAAACATGGACTGCTTTGCCAGATACGGAGTCGCCACCTAAATATTTTATTTTGGGAGAATTTAGGAAACCCTGACTCGTGCCTAAGGCCACGTGTCCGTCATCACCAAAGTTGCCTCGGCTCGGGAACTTGGGTACGAAAGGAGAAGGTCATGCAATGAGCACCCCCGCTCGCCCGATCAAAGATCGGCCTGTACTAAGCATGATATTTTATTTTTGAAAACACATGTGTTCTTATTCCGGTTATTAACCTAGAATTACTATGTGATGCGCACAGCATACAAGTATAGACTAGATCGCCTAAGTTAGAACAAAACATTGCATGTTCGTTTATTTGAAAACGGTTTGAAGTTTGCTACTCGCAAGCAGGCTAAATCGGGGATTTGATGAATTGTTCCAATTCAAGCAATCCAACTTTCACCCACAGGCATTCAAGCAGTTATATTAAATAAGCAGTTAGCCTCATGAAAAGCATGCTTTTGTGGCAACATTAACACATATGCAGTATGCTAAAGCATAAACACTCACAGTGTACTCCGAACCAAAATAGAACTAGTTAGAAATCATGCATGATCCTAGTTCATGTTAAGATGGCTAATGCAACACATGCAAGATGCAGCTAAAATGGGCTCAGCTATTCTAGAATGGCATGTGAAATGCAACTTGATACATGTATTCAATTTGTAATTGAAATACAATGCAGTTAGTATGATGCGCCGAGCCTGGTGCATGCAAAACAGATGAATGATGCACGCATGCATAGCATAAAGTATGCTAATTGAAATATGCCCTAAAACTAACCATTGTAAGCGGTTAAGTAAAAGGAAGAAAGAAATGGGGGTTGGAAGACATGCATCACACACACGCACGTTTATTACAATAGTTGGCCCTCTCGACGGAGGGTCCGAATAAGAAGCCAACTAGCTAATCTAAGCTAATTAAACTAATTATTACACAACGAAGCTAATTAACTAATCCTAGTTAACTAACTATTACAAGACAATTAAGCAGCTAAACGCATTAACTACTTAAATACAGAATCCAAAGCATAAACTAGCTAAGCAAATTAGCTAAGTAAAGCAGTAAAACAATGTCCTTAGAGGGAGAAGAATGCATGCATGCCCGGTTGCCTCGTTGGAAATCCGTCACGATGTCCCAACTTGCCTCTGTTTGCAGCTATTCTCAGAAACTTGCACCAAGCTCTAGATAGCTTCTAACTCATCTTGGGGACCTGTAGGAGGGTG